AAAAAAAAAAAAAAAAAAAAAAAAAAGGAGGGGTCTTTCCTCTGTTTCCCATTTCAAAATGTACTTTTTTTCTCCTTCCCCACGCCCTCAATTTACCTGATCTGTCCCTTGTATAGATCAAAATTACTTGTCATTGGGAACAACAACAACAACAACAACAACAAAAGGCAAGTTGATCGGAATTGGGGGCTTCCTACGCAGAACGCAAGGAAAATAAATTGATTTTTTTTTTTTTTTTTAAATGACAATCTAATGCTGTAGACTGTTCCCTTGGATCAAGGATCTACACTCTGCCACTGAAATCATCAGTATTTGAGAGATTTCTGAAGACACTGGCCACTCATTTGTGTTGCTCTACTGTACCATGCAGGCCAAATGGCAGCCTCCATGCCTTTGGCCATGTTAGCATATTCCTTCTGCCCTCTCATTACTCATGTTCTCCCTGCCAGCATCCTCACACCTCCACAACCTCCCCCACCCACCCATCCACCACCCCAAGATCCAGCTCTGTCAGATTTGAACTGACTTTGGGGAAAGCACAGGGAGTTTTTCAGTCAAAGCTGCCTCCTCACCAGAGCCACAAGCTCTGTACCTCTGGTAACAGGCCATTCCATACTACTTCTCTGGCAATCTGTCTCCAGATTCATCCTTTATTGCCCAGCTGACATGCTACAGGTTTTATTTGATCAGGCTTTTCTTACATGGTCTTCAAGATGTTTTAAAACTACATTTTCTCACCACTAATATAAACGAGCCTTAATAGGGCTTAGAATTGAAACCCAGACTGTCAGAACTGAGGAATTTGCAGCTTTGTTACAGTATCAGATGCGTCCTTGATCATCGGCTAAATAAAGTAAAAGGCTGGCCTAAATCTGCTATTACTTCATGTTTAATTCAGATACCTTTGAGTGAGTGCATCTCTTCCCTCCCCCCAATATTCTATTCTTATCACCTGTGTATTGAAGTTTATGGTGACTAACCTAGACAAGCACGCCAAAACACTGAGGAAATGTTTTAAAACCCGGTTTCTACAAAACCATAGTTTATCCGAGACAGAGAACACAATAGATCCGGAGATTAGAGCACCACATTATAACAGGCATTTTACAACTTCTCTAAAGCAACTATCAGTGTAATTCTTAAAGTGTTTAGTTACTTTGAAGAGAAGATGAGTACATTATACAGTAACGAACAGAACTTGCACTTTCCTATTCAAGAACATTACAGGTAAGCAGGAAGTGATGATGCTTTTGATATAGTAGATGCAAATTAAAAACTCCAGTAGCAGATCTCTGAACTGCCATCAGCTTCTTATCAAGTGGAGATAAAGGTTCCCAGAACGCCAGCACATGCAAAAAGTTACACTCTGAAGTAACGTGCCAAAGCACCGTGAGCTTTGGGATGAAAAGCTTCTGAAAGGCCGTGCATTTCATTATACATTTGGGATCACCTGATAGTTCAAATTTACACTTATTTTAATACAACTTCATGTGAGCCAGGATTAGAGCAGATGTGGATTTTGGAGTGCATTTTTCTAGCTTAGTAACGACCTTCAGAGACAGCAAACTCTCAGTGTAAAGCGAAGATGCAAAACTAGTCTTTTCACCGAATTTAAGAGTGCAGTATTTCTCTGGGTGAAGCAACTCCCATTTAGTTTTACTGTTTCCACTGCAAGATAATGGTCTGTCTTTACTTACTCGTCCGTCTAGTTATGCCCTTAAAAGGCTCCGCGGCAAACATGTAAAAGCAAATTGTTCTGAGCAACAACATTACCGTAAAGGACTGTATAAGACAAGACAAGGTCACATGTCTCTAATTTCTAGAAAACCGAGGCTATCCTCACAGGATCCTGTCACGAAACTGGGGTTGAATCTTGGTGGTGCTGTGTGGGTGAGTGGGCAGCGCCGGGTATCCAGTAAATTCCCAATCGAGACAGAAAACAGCACCAAGGCTCAGAATAAGGAGCTCTCCTCATACTATTAAAGCTCTATTGCTGCCTAATACTACGCTTCTTATAAAATAAAAACAAAACAACCATAAAAAAAGCACCGGTCTAACAGCAGGGAAAAAAAAAAATTGCAAGCGTCCCCTAAAATGACATTAGATCTTCCTATTTTATTATTTTTTTTTATACAGCACCGCACTGAAGATTACCCCTACCCGGAGCTGCGAAACCGAGCAGGAGCCGCTCACCACATCGTCTCCCCATTCACGGGGCTGCACCCCGGTTCCAACTCTCCCAAGGAGAAGCCGAAGCTTCCCCCCGGGGCACCGCCCAGCGCTGGGGGGGTCCGGCCCGATCCCGGCGGAGCCCCCCCCTTCCCCTCCAGCAGCCCGGCCCCGCCGCCTTCCTCGGCATCATTCCTCCACAGCGTCGCCTCCTTCTCCTCTCCCCCACCCTCATTTTTAATTTTTTTTTTTTTTCTTCCC